GCTTCCACAGCACCCTGGGCACAGGGACCGGTGTCCGGCTGCCGTCCATCCACCCTGGCGAAGCCGTGCCCCCGGAACCTCGCCGTCCCTCGGCTTTCACTACATCCACTTCGAGCTGACCCGGGCTCAGCCAAACGAGAGGAGCTTTGCCTCTCCTCGGCGGGCTCCGGACAGCATCCTGACAATTCAGTCGGGTCCTGCTTCGCTGCGCTAAAGCAGAATAAAAAGCACCCTGTGACTCAATAAGGTTTTCCTAAGGCAAGGCTCTGACAACAATGGGAAAGCCTGAAACAGGCTAATGAACTGATCTAGCGGTTTAGGTTGGAAAGGACCTTTAAGATCACTGAGCCCAACCGCAAGCCTAGTGCTGCCAAGCCCTCCACCAAACCACGTCCCTGAGCACCACACCTACACGGCTTTCAAATCCCCCCGGGACGGTGACTCCACCGCTTCCCTGGGCAGCCTGGGCCAGTGCTCCACAACCCTTCGGGTGAAGAAATTCTTCCTAATACCCAATCTAAATACCTTAGCTTGCACTCAGCAGACATGAAAAGAAATCTGTTTGTGGGTCTTTGCTGTTAAGCGCTGATCCTGACCTCGCTGACGGACCGCCGGCTTTCACCGCCAGGATCACGGGGGGCAAGGAGGGAGAGTAGGTCTGCGCCTGCAGGTTTCGAGGGCCGACTGATGGGGTCGGCCCCTTCCCGCGGGATTTACACACCCCCGGCCCCCAAACTGAAGTGTCGTGGTTAAACCCCCGCTTCCTCAGCCTAACACTAACGCACAACGAACTCCGAGCAGCTCAGCCGACTAACGAATCGTAAAAGATTTTCTACTTCACGTACCCACCTGTAAAGCTGAACAGAGCTGTGCTACAGTGCAGTCATTCAGTATTTTCAATATATGCATCCAGAAATTAAATTTTCTTGTTTTCCTATTGTGCTTTTATGCATGTAAGCATGGAGGCACCATCTGTTATTGATATATAGGACCCCATCAACATGCAGATTGATTCTCCTGGCTTACATAGGATAATCATTTAGATTTGTTTGTATTAAACAGGAACAAGTTGATTTAATCCCCATACTAACGCAGTGAAAACCCTTCAGGCTTCTGCAGATAAGGAAGGATGTTTTAGACCAAATCCCCTCTGATGTTTGCAGCTCAGACACAGGGAAGTCCAAGTCTGGGCTCAACTGCTTTGCTAAACCACAGCTTTATTTTTGGTCTGTGGAAGGCAAGCGGATGCCGCCTGTTCACGGGCTTCACTTAACAGCGGCACATGTTGTGCCCAGAGGCAAAGCTGATCCCGATGATCTCTGTCCAGGTTTGATGAGACCGCATGGCTTAAGGGCAGCAGCACCCGCTGAGACCTTCCCATCAGGGCACCGGTCCCTCCGTCGCCCCGGCACACAGCCTGGGCACGCGTCGGCATGGCACAGCCGTGCCACCATGGCAGTGCATCCCGGCCCCATCCCAACCGCAGCCCGGCGTTTTGGCCAGAGCCAGCAAACCCCTCGGCACCCCGGAGCGCTCGCCATCCGCGGCCCCCAAACGCTCCCCCCCTCCAGCTGCCCTTTTCCTGCCCACGGGCACCCCCGCACCTCCGAGGGGGCTGCAGCGCGGTGCGAAGCAGCTATCGTGTGCTCCTCTCGGGCAGCACCACCAGTGGAAATACCACACAAAATACCTGTAAACTTTACTGCGGAAAACATGCCGTTTTATGCCTTTGCTACCAGGCAGAGATTAAAGAGGGAGCTTATATTTGCAGACAATCTGTTCACCTGGAAAGGGCTGCTTTGCTCAGGCGCAGTCAAACCCCTCCATATGGGACGGCAAACGGCTGACGGTTTGTGCCAGTGCCCCCGTGCAGGCACACGCGCGATGCTCCACGGGTCGGAAACGGGAGCCTGGTTCCCGACAACTGAACCGGAGCAAAGCAGAGCTACCTGCACCACGGAAACAGCAGCTCCAACATCAGCCTTCAGGAAAAAATCCGAGTTGACAGCCGAGGAGGGAAATGCTCCATTTGATCTGCTAATTGATGCTGACTGTCGAGTCAAGGAGCTGTGTTCTGCTTAACTCTCCATTTTGCTTCCCAGCCAACGCTCTCTGATTAACGCTTGTTTCTTGGCTCAGGCCAATACAAGGCTTTCCGGATCAAACGCTTTTCATCTCTGAGCTGTGCAACAGCAAGCGACGACTGGCACTGGTCGCTGGCGTGAAACCGCGTGGGAACCGCAGCACTGTTTTGGAGAGCATGGCAGTGAAATACCAAACCCTTCACATTTAAGAGCAGAGGCTTTCCCAATTGCTTGTTCTCTGGACCGATGATACAAGGCTGGGTTCGTGCCCTCCTGGAAGCCCCACCACGTACCAGCCCAAACAGCATGGCCTCAATGCCCCTGCAGTTAATTGAGACATATTTCACTGTATTCCAGGGGAAAACATAAATCCTTTGTTTCCAGCGTACTGACAGTTCTTAAACACTGCACATATTTTTAATTAAACTTTCTGGGGTAGCAGTTCGGTGGTAGCAAAGAATGTCAGGAGTTTTTGTGCACTTCCCTGAAACAACAGCTGTACAAAGGGAACCACCGCTTTGCTGCAAAAAACCACAGGGATTTACAGAGAACCAAGCCCTCCACGCACGGCTAAATATCCTCCCATGCAGCCTCACGTTTGCAAAAGTGAGAAAAGCCATTACAGCTACACCCAACAGACGTTTCAGTCATGGTCTCTTCTCGTCTATTCACAGCATTCGCATTTTGACTGATGCAATAGCAAACAAAGCCGACAGCCAGACTCGTCCCTGTTCCAGCCTCCGCTCCCTCGCACGCGCCGTTCCCCGGGGCATCGTGGGGATAACGACGTTTGGCATCACCAAGCACCCTCCCTCCCTCCTGCCCGGCCAGGAACACAGTGCACTTTCTCCTTACGTCCCAACCAACAACAGCAAGAGGAATGGGAGATGGTGAGAAAGTTTGTGGAAATGCACCCTTCGATCACCAGTGTGGTTTCTGAATTAAGGACTCGATTTTACTACATTCTGCTGAAGGTGAGTGCCCAGACAGCATCCCCTCCCTGCGCCCCGTTCCAGGCGGGGAACACCGGCAGCAGCTTTTCCCCACGGGACAAGCCAGTTCTGCTCTGTAACACCAGCTCTAAATCCTGGCAACGCTGGAAAGAGGCTTTGAGATGCCGCAGCGGGAACGTTAAGAGCAAGATGTGTCATTTGTAGATAGAAACACTATTTTGAGATATAGAACATTCAGATATTCTAAATATTAACTATTAAAAGCAAACATTTTTTAAATTCCTACACAAACACATATTTATAGCGCTGTTTGACACTGGCTGGCTGAGATGAGGCTCAGTCCCAAGCAATAACCATACGCATAACAACATCAGGACCTAGCCAGCCTTTATTCATCACAACCCAAATTAATTCAGATTGCATTTAAGTCTTGCCTAGGCCCAGTCCATAGAGAGCTCAGGACAGCGGGCAACGCAGAGCTGCACTGCAAATCAAGAGCTATGATAATGAAAACACTGCCCTGACCCAAGAGGGATGCACACCAGCGCTGACCTTCGGGTGCCCCTAAAGGGAGACTCCTCACGGCTAAATGGAAACATCCTCTGCAGGATGAAGGCTTTCTATCGGATCTTAGGAAAACTGTTCCGAAATCACACTCATTTTCCCTGAGCACCATTTCTCTTTTCAGGCAAAGATGCATAAAGCCCCCCTGTTGTCACCTAACGGGGAACAGGGTCTCTGGGCAGACGCCCTCAACTCCCAGGTCCCAGCCAACACTCCAGTTTTCTCCCGACCTCCACCTTG